GGTAAATACCAAAGAGTATAATGCTTGACTGTATGGTAAGAGTGTGTTTAGTTTTGTGAGAAGCTGCCGTTTGGTGTCCGGAGGGTCTGTGCGAGTTCGCTTCCCCACCAGCAACGGAAGGGAGTCCGTGTGGCTCCATGCCCCCCCCCCTGGTGCCGGTGCTGTCAGTGTTCTGGGTTTGGGCCATTCTAATAGGTGTGTGGTGGCATTTCACTGTTGCTATAATTGACATGTGACATTGCACATCTTCTCATATGCCTCTCTGCCATCTGGTGTCTTCGTTGGCAAGGTGTCTGCTCAGGTCTTTTCAGTTGGGCTGTTCATTTCCTTAGTGTTGAATTTTAAGAGTTCTTTATATATTTTGGGTAACAATCCTCTATCAGACGTATCTTTTGCTGATATTTTCTCCCAATCTGTGGCTTGTCTTCTCATTCTCTTCCCCATGTTTTGAAAATAGTCAACATCTGGTTAAAACGAACAAGCCAACCTTGAAGGGAAAAATAAATCACAAAGTGTGGCCCCGAAAGGGAACACAATGGAAGGGTGGCCGGTGGGGGGAGAAGAGGAGCCAAAGCATAGTATACTTCTGTCTAGGTATTTATGTTCTAGCAAATATAGCCAAGGTGTGGCTAAAAGTGCTAAAGCAGACTTCTCATACAGTACTGGAAAGCCCATTTGAGAGAGTGTATAACAGTCTAGAGGATGACTTCTTGCCATTCTTCTCATAGCTCATCCAAAACATCTTGCAGGAGAGGGAGGGCTCTTTTTACGACCAAGCTTAGCTGTCCCTTCTTCCAGGAGGCTTCCTCTAGCCTTCCAGGCACTGATCTGGTGCCTGCTGCTGTGCACTCTGCACTGTACTAGCCAGAGACTTCTCGCTGCATTCTGGCGGCCCGCACGTGTGTAGCCCTCACTAGAGCATGATTCCCACGAAGCAGGAGCTGCCTGCCTTAGTGCCAACTGTATCCCAAAGTCTAGCCCAGTATCTGGCATAGTATTAGCTCTCAACACATTTTGGCTGCATGGATAAATGAAGTAAGTATTGGAAGGATGAGACAGAGCCTCGCTGTATTACACTAGTTTGCTAGGGCTGCCCTTACAAAGAACCACAAACTAGGTGGCTTAAACTACAGAAATGTAGTCTCAACAATTCCGGAGGAGGCCGGAAGTCTAAGATGAAGGTGTCAGTGGGCATGCTTCCTCTGAAGATGCTAGGACAGGGTCTGCTCAGGCCTCCTCCCCGGCTCCTGACAGTCCCTTGGCTCACAACAGCATCACTCCAGTCATCACGGGGCATATGCTCCTTGTGTATGTGCCTGTGTGCCCACATTTCTCCTCTTCATAAGGACACAAGTCATATTTGATTACGGCCTACCCTAATGACCTCATTGTGACCTGACTGTCTCTGTAAAGATGCTAGCTCCAAATAACATCATATTCTGAGGGTCTGGGAGTTAGGATTATTTTTCAACAGCATTTCCATGTCATGGGGATGGGTTTCTTTGATAACTAGAATTGAAATATGGAGTAGCAGTAAAAAACTCCAAATGTGCTCAAATGCACAGAATAGGCTGGGGTTGTCCCAAACCATTCGATATCGCTAAGAGTAAAATCAATTGAAAAAAGACACAAAGGAGAGGAGAAAAAGCAGAGGGAGAAGAAAACATTAGAATAAAGACTGATAGAAATAGAAACGCTTCGTCTATACCACAGTCCTTGATCTAGGCACATCCATGGAAGTGTGTCTTAAATGGGATTGTTGCCCATTGGGTGTACAGAGGCAGAAAAACAGCTTGGGAGCCACTAGGCAAAAGTAGTTCACCGATACAGTCTTATCCAATCCTGCTTGGAGAAAAGCAAGTCCAGAATCACACACCTGTTTCCCTCAAGCCCAGTGACCAATCCCAAAATACTCATAAGTGGAGGAGAGAGCCCACCTCCCCCAGTTAACACCCACTCACATGAAGATCCGATTTCAGCCCCTTGGGGATTCCTCTCCACACGTGGCTATGTGAAGTGATATGAGTAGGCCGCAACAGGTGGACTGAAGAAATACAACTCTATTTCCTCTTTACTCCTACTTGGTAGCAAGGGGGAAAAGGAAACTTCTAATTTGTCTGTTCAAAAAAAAAACTTCTTTCAAGTATTTCTTAAACCAGATTGGGTTTTAAGCTCAGGCAATTCTGAGTTCCCCGTTGTCCTGGAGGAGCCCAAGTTCTAGAGGAGTGTGCATGTCATTCGGATCTGTAGGAAGGAAAGCTGGGCTCTTGCTTGTTCTGATGTCCTCTAGAGTCTGCCTCGCCCTGCCTAGTCTCTGGGGATGCTGGGTTGTTATTCACTGGTGTGTGGCAGGTCCCACCTGGCCCTCTCGAGCACCACGCTGACAGCAGTGTAGAAATCCGCGTGCCCTCACACTTTTCAACCTCCTCATCCCCACTCCAGGCTTCTTCCAAGTCACAGGACCTCTGGGCACTCCCACACTGGTTCACCCAGTCACAGGCACACACTGCAGAACAGGAGACTCGGAGGCACCACCTCCAACCCTCCAGCCTTGGCCGTCTCCAAGCTGCCACCTGGATGGCACCTGGGCTGCTCTGGCTCCCGGTTCTGTGCCGAAAGACGGGCTTCTGGTGCAATCCTTGAGAGGCAGAGAGCATGACGCCCTTCCCGGGCATTCTGGACACTGCCCCTCAGCCCCTCGCCCACCAGGCTCTTCACAAAAGAACGTACAAAAGTGTGTTTAGGGATGGGTGTAGACAATGACCGTACACTTTACTGTCCTTCCGATTTCTTTTTCGCCCAGGAGCCTCTTCCCAAACACCAAGAGAGCTTCCTTGGGTTGCATTTACTCTGCCATTTCCTGGAGCAAAAAAAAAAAAAAAAATCTGTTTTACCACCTAGTCTCAGTGGCCAAGGGCTGCAGGAAAAACCCCAAATACACAATATATGAAAATTATTTTGTCTACTCCATTCAACCAAAACTTTGAGGGAAGAGACTTTTACCTGTTTGAGGATGTTCTTAACTGTAAATATTGACTATGTGGGAAAACAGCTCTTAGGAGATCTTACTGAGTCAGTAAGGAACCTACAGTTTCAGAGACAAACACTGGTAGACATTTAATGCAAAACAGGATCAGATAATGGAACAGAATAGAAAGTCCACAAAACCTCCACACACATACACATAAAATATGCACATACACACATTAATTTTTGACAACGTTACAAAGGCAATTCAGTGAAGAAAGGAGAGTCTTTTCCAAAATGGCACAGAAACAATTGGATAATAATATGGAGCTGGGGGTGGGTGGGAATATCTTCAATCCATCCCCGTGGGCAGCAGAATAATGCCCTCCCTAATATGTCCACACTCTCATCCCCCCCAAATCCATGAATATGTTAAGAAAGTAAAAAGATAAGCCATAGACTATGAAAAAAATGTTTTCAAATCATATACCTGGTAAAAGATTTTTCTGTGAAATACATAAAGAACTTTCAAAACCCGATAACACCCCAGCTAAGTTCTCAGGCAAATACAAAGGCCTCAGGAAAACATTTTTACACATACAAGGACCCAAGAAATAAAGTTCCTTAAAAATGTAAAACAGACCTTAAGTCCAGCCAATAAAGATATAAATCAAAACAAATAAACAAACACCTCTCAGTAGCAGGAAAATACATACAAACAAAAAGTGGGCAAAAGATTTGAATAGACACTTTGCCAAAGAAGATTTATGGGTGGCAAATAAATACAGGAAAAGATGCTCAAAATCATTCATCATGCAAAAATGAAAATTATAACCACAAGGAGATACCACTACACAAGTGTTAGCAAAGATATGGAGCAACTGAACTCTCATACACTGCTGTGGGGAATGTAAAGTGGTATAACCACTTAGAAAACAGTTTGGCAGTTTCCTAAAATGTTATACCATATACCGTATACCTACCCTATGATCCAGCCACTCTACTCCTAGATATTTACCTAAAAGAAATGAAAACATACATCCATGCAAAGATTTGTAAATAAACGAATGTCCACAGAGGCTTTATTTGTAACAGCCCCAAACTGGAAGCAACTCAAACAAGTGAATGGATAAACCATGAGTATCTATGCAACGAAATAACTACCGGCATCTAAACAGAATGCACTGTTGATAACACAACAAGAGATGAACCTCAGAATAATTAGTCTATGTGAAAGAAGCCAGATCAAAAAAAAAAAAAAAAAGTGAATGCACACCGTATGATTCAACGTATATCAAATTCAAGAAAATGCACATTAATGCACTACAGTGACAGAAAGAATATAGATAGTGCCTGGGGACCGGCAGCTGGGAGAAGCAGGAAGGAGGGATTATTATTAAGGAGCAAGAGAACTTTTGGGGGGTGATGAAGGTTTACTATTTTGATTGCAATGGTGGTTTATGCTGTACACATATGCCCGAATGGATCAAATTAATCCAGTTTAAATATGTGCGGCTTATTGTATGCCATTTATACCTCGATAAAGCTGTTTACAAATACAATGAGAGGAAATTGTTTAAACATAAAAGAGCAGGATGTTTAAAACATATTAAATATATAAAAAAGTGGTGCTAACAAACAAATTGTATTGGCCAAGAAGCACCAGACGAGCCAGCGATTTGTTTTGCGTTTGAGGGGTGGGGTTGGGGGGGCTTTCTTTTGTTTTTGTGCGTTTTCTGGGTCTTGTGTTTTGCATTTGAGTTGGGAGGTGTAGCCCGCACGTAAGCTGGGAAGTCCAATCAACAATAAAAAGAACCCCTCGCGTTCAGTGATTAGAAACCACCCCGCCACAATCAACGGGGCAAAAGACGCCAGGGGGAACTCAGAGCCTCAGACCCAGCGTCCACGGGAGTCCCCACAGAGGGCGCGCGCCCCCTACTTCCGGGAAGACGCCTCTCGCCGGGGAGGCGGGGTCGGCTCTGGGCCCCGCCCACGGCGCCCGCCCTCCGCGCTCCGCAGCGCGCAGCCTCGGCGGGGGCGCTTTACGGCCGGAGGGTAGGGCGGGTCCTAGGCCGGAGGAAGGAGGCCCAGCTGAGGGGCGGGGGTGGGGTGGGGTGGGGAGAGACTTTTTTTGCGGCAGGACGTAAGTGACGGCGAAGACGGTGCGACAGCAGCTGGAGGGCCGAGGAGGCGGGTTCGTGTTCCCCGGGCCGAACCGGGCTGTGGGGGGCGCGGGGCCCGGGCCGAGGCGCCGGCGGAAGCCCGCCGTGACAGCATGGGCGAAGGGGAGCGCGGCGGGGAGGCCGTGGGCTGCTCTGGGCGGGGCGGGCCCGCGGGGCTGGCGTCCCGGGTCCGGGCCGGGGCTCTGACCCGTGGTTGGTGTTCCCCCGAACCCGCAGCGCGGCGCGTCCGGTCCTCGCCATGAGGCCGCAGCAGGCGCCGGTGTCCGGCAAGGTGTTCATCCAGCGAGACTACAGCAGTGGCACCCGCTGCCAGTTCCAGACCAAGTTCCCCGCGGAGCTGGAGAACCGGGTACGCGCTTGGCTCCCCCGCCCGGCCGGGAGCGAGGGGGCGACTCCCCGGGGCTGGGGCGGGGTGTGGGCCGCCTCCCGGCCCGAGCGACCACGGCTCCGGCGAGGGCCAGGCGCACTAGGAGGACGGGCGCCGAGCAAGACCCGGCGTTGGGAGGAGGCCCAGCCTGGGGCGTGATGACTCTACATACCTTTACGTTGCCGGTGGGTGCCGGGAGTCTACACCCAGCAGTCCTGGTCCTCTGCTGCCCCCCGAATCCCCACCGCGGGGTGTTGACAGCAGTGATGAGGAGCTCATTCCTGAGGCCCCGGGCCACCTCACTGAGCGGGTTGTAGGCAGTATTCTCCTCCGAGTCCATGCAAGAGAAATAATCATCGTTCCCGTGACCGGCGTTTGTGGTCAGCGCTGGTCGTGCTGTGCCAGGCGGTGCAGACAGGCCTTCTTGGACCCTAAAAAGTGTAGAGCATTAGATGGACCTGGACAGGAAAATATCCTAGAACAAGGCCCTAAACTTGTCACTCTTACTGGGAGTCGCCTCTTGTGTCTTGCATGGTAGAACTGTTACCAGGATATAGGTCCTTTGGGCACCCTTGCATGCAGAAATGGAAGAATAGGATTTGTTTCCCCTTCCGACTTGTCAAAAAAAAAAAAAAATCATTGTATCTTATTGTAAAGGTACAATGGAATGTGTTTGTGTGGTGTTTTGGTGCCCGTATGTGTATACTAGAGATTCTTTTGGTCTTGAGCCATATTACTTAGATTCTGTTTCCTGTTCAGAGGTCAATTTCTGGCTAGCTGGAGCAGGTTTTGTGGCTCTTCTACAGGCAGGGTGAGGGCCTGAGAGGTGATTAGGCGTTGCGTGGGTGTGGGGCTAAGAAATGTTGGTCATGGGATAAGTAGGCGTAGATGAGTCTGTGCTAGAGAAATGTGTAGCAGTCATTTAGTCAGTTTGTATCAAGGTGGGTTGCTCTACCTGATTGCAAAGGTTAGGAAATCAACAATGATCAATTATAGCTTCCTTCAGCTTGGTTTATAACTGTGGAGAGGTTAGTGGCCCAAATATATTTCTGCAAATTAAAGCTCAGACATACCTTAAAAAGCTGGTGTGTAAATTAGCTTGTTGTTGAAATGCTGCAGTGTGTTGTCAGCAATGTTACAAGTAAACGCTGTGTGACAATAGATGGACATTTACACAGTAGTTTGAAGAGGTAGAAATTCAGCAAGATGTTAATTGGCTAAAGTTACTGAATGTTGTTTTTAAAATAATTTAATATCACAGTTAACATGTTTTACATGATAAGACTTATGAGAAATCTATCAAATGTTTTATTTTTAAGCCTCTTATGGAAACCATAACTTACACAGTTTATGTACTTCAAAATCAGAATGTAAACTATTCTTTTCCACCTCACTTACTTGGATGTTACAAGATTCCTTTGTTTATAGGTTTTTGGGGGGTTTTTTTGAGACAGAGTCTCACTCTGTTGCCCAGGCTAGAGTGCCCTGGCATCAGCCTAGCTCACAGCAACCTCAAACTCCTGAGCTCAAGAAATCCTTCTGCCTCAGCCTCTCAAGTAGCTGGGACTACAGGCATGTGCCACCATGCCTGGCTAAGTTTTTCTTCTTTTTTTTTTTATTTTCTTTTTTTTTTTTTAATTTTAGCGTATTATGGGGGTATAAGTGTTAAGGTTACATATAAGTTTATATATATATATATTTTTTTTAGTTGGCCAATTAATATCTATTTTTAGTAGAGACAGGGGTCTCACTCTCGCTCGGGCTGGTTTCGAACTCCTCACCTTGAGCAATCCACCTCAGCCTCCCAGAGTGCTAGGATTACAGGCATGAGCCACTGTGCCAGCCTGTAGGCTTTTAAAGTCAAATTTCCTCCTCATATATTTGAGCTAAATATACGTGTGCAGAATCAGACAGTAGCCTTTCACTGTGTGTGGTAGAGCCTTACATTTTATAGTCTAAATACAGAAGCATGATGTAGTCAACAATACTCCACTGATTTTTACAGGACATCGATATTTCTAAATTCTGGAGTCCTTTTACTTCTTTGATTTCATTTAGCCCAGAACTGCTCGTGATACTGAGTACTACATGGAATGTTACATGGTGCTATTCAGTTGTGCCTTTGAATTTTTTTTTTCTCTTTAAATGTTTGAGTTAAAACACTAGTTTATACTATAAACCACTTGGGAAAGCTTTGATTTTTTTTTTTTTTCTGTATTGAGATTGAGATTAAATTTAAATTACAGGTTTAAATTTTCCTTGCTTTGTTTCATGGAAAATTAAAAGGTTTCTTTCTTCTCTACTGCTTACCCTAGAAATTTTCTGATTGCTCTGCCACTGGGCTGATTTTCCTTTTGTGAGAACATCTCGCTTGGCAACTTAATAGAGAAAGAAACTAATATACAAATGTTATGTATTACTTTAAAGCATTTTTAAAAATACACATTTGTGCCCTTTAATTTGGGAGCGAGGACACGTTCTGTTCACAAGTTTACTTTCTCCGCTGCCTTTTAGAATGTCATGCTTTGATGCTTAAGTGCTTTGTTGTCAGGACACTCTTTAAAGGAAGCTTTATTCTCATTTTAGCCAAACTACAAGTATCTTAGTCACCCTTGGTCTGGGTAGAAAAAAATGAGTGAACTATAATTAAGGCATTTGTTCTCCTACATACCTTTAAAACTATGTTTCTCCAATCTGGTCAGTAGCAGTTACCTTTGACTTCCCACCCTTGGTCAGTGATCACGTTAAGTTTCAACACCATGCTTTCTACCATGTAGTTCAACAAGAAACAGAAATTCTGGGAAAATTAGCCTGATTCCTCTTTCCATTCTGACTTTGAACGTTTACGAGTCGAAATTCGTATTTGGCTCCAACTTCACGTATCTCTGAATTTTGATGTAGCTTTTATATCAGTGTCCGGGTACAGGTACCTAATGGAGAACACTCATGGCAGCTGTTGTTTATAGTTCTTAAAGGCAGTGAGATAAAAACACCTGATTTGTTCTGTTGAGCCCTTGCAAGTGAGGTTTGTCATTTCTATCTCATGCTTTTTACCTTTTATTTCCCTTTTCTTTTTAAAAAAGAAAATAACCTTTAATAACCTCCCAAAACTTCTTGACATTTACTTTTTTAACCTTTTATCCCCTCTTTATTGTTAATAACCTTTTTTTTAAATAAATCCTTGACCTTGGATTTTTTTTTTAACTATTTGCCTCCATCCTGTAAGTCATTGCAATCTCGGAATAACTCTTAAGAGTTAGTATTTCTGGTGTGAACAGTAATTCTAATCAGAAAGAAATAAGGTGTTTCTGGGTTGGATCCCATGGTTTTGAATCACACTGTATATAAAGAAATGTAAATAATTCAAAGGACTTATCAGATCATAACATAGGCAAATCAATTATTTAGACTTTCGTAGATTTATCAGTGGACAAACTGAAGGCATTAGCATAGGCATAATTAGGTGAATATAACAGTTTACCATTAATATTCACTCACTGGAGCTTTTCTCCTAAGTCTGTTTTCCGGGAATAAGAATTGTAACTTAGGGCACCCAGGTGGCCGGTCCTGACAACACATCTTTTAAGGACCAGGTCAGTGAGGGAATGCTGCCCTGCTCCTAGCACCACCTCCATGTACCTGGCCCTTGTCCCAAACTCTAACATTCTGAGAAATTTGAAATAATTCCTTTTTTTTAAAATTTCAGCATATTATGGGGGTACAAATGTTTAGGTTATGTATTTTACCCTTGTCCCCCACCCCCAGTCAGAGCTTCAGCTGTGCCCTTCCCCAAGATTAGGTATTCATCGCACTCATTATGTGTGTGTATGTATCTACCCATCCCCTCCTTCCCCCTCTCATCTGCACAACGCCCAATGAATGTTATTCCTATATGTGCACTTAGGGGTTGATCAGTTAAAAACAATTTGATAGTGAGTACATGCGGTGCTTATTTTTCCATTTTTGGGATACTTCACTTAGTAGAATGGAAGGACATGAACAGAAACTTTTCAAAAGAAGACAGAATAATGGCGAATAAACATATGAAAAAAATGTTCAACATCTCTGAACATCAGGGAAATGCAAATCAAAACCACAATGAAATATCACTTATCTCCAGTGAGAATGGCCTTTATCAAAAAGTCCCGAAACAACAAATGTTGGCGTGGATGTGGAGAGATAGAAACACTCCTACACTGCTGATGGGGCTGCAAACTAGTGCAACCTCTGTGGAAAGCAATATGGAGATACCTCAAAGAGATACAAGTAGGTCTGCCATTTGATTCAGCAATCCCATTACTGGGGATCTACCCAAAAGATTCTACCCAAAAGAATCTACCCAAAAGACATTCCATAAAAAAGACATCTGCACTCGAATGTTTGTAGCAGCATAATCCACAATTGCAAAGCTGTGGAAACAACCCAAGTGCCCATGAATACATGAGTGGATTAATAAAATGTGGTGTATGTATACCATGGAGTACTACTCAGCTTTAAGAAACAATGGTGATATAGCACCTCTTGTATATTCCTGGAAGTAATTCCTTTTGAAGAACAAGGTGGAGCTGCCACCACTTTAAAGGTTACGTTAAATTTTTTCATGTCACCAGCTTATTGACTCCTCATGACTTTTCCACGCGAAGAACAAAACAATGACTACAATGTCTTCTACCCTGAGGGATTTGATTTCTTTTTTTTTACTTAAAAAAATTTTTTTTTTACTTCAGCATATTATGAGGGTACAAATGTTTAGGTTACGTATGTTGCCTTTGCCCCACCCAAGTCAGAGCTTCAAGTGTGTCCATCCCCCAGACGTTGTGCACAGCACGCATTAGGTGTGCAAGGTGTGAATATACCCACCCCCTCCTCCTACCTCCCACCTGCCCTACACCCGATGAATGTTATTCCTATATGTGCACTTAAGTGTTGATCAGTTAAAACCAGTTTGGTGGTGAGTACATATGGTGTTTGTTTTTCCATTCTTGTAATACTTCACTAAGTAGAATGGGTTCCAGCTCTGTCCAGCATAATGCAAAAGGTGCTATATCACCATTGTCTTTTGTGGCTGAGTAGAATTCCATGGTGTGTATGTGTGTGTGCATACATATATATATATATATATATATCACATTTTATTAATCCACTCATGTATTGACGGGCACTTAGGTTGTTTCCACATCTTTGCAATTGTGAATTGTGCTGTTATAAACATTTGAGCAGTGCAGATGTCTTTTTTATAGAATGTCTTTTGTTCTTTTGGATAGATGCCCAGTAATGGGATTGCTGGATCAAATGGTAGTTCTACTTGTATCTCCATATTGCTTTCCACAGAGGTTGTACTAGTTAACCTGAGGGATTTTAATAGTTTAAGGGTGATCATAAATTGTTTTACACTTTAAAAAATTATGTTCTTGGGAATGTTTTGTCTCATACTGTATGTTGGGGTTCTTTGATTATTTTTTTTCTGAGTCTATTTCTAATATATATTAAGAAAAACTTCATAAAAGAGAGAACTCATCAGTAAGTAGTTTTAGAAGTAAGGGAAGCCTTACATCAAAGAAGGCCTACAGTGAGGACAGATTAAGAGTGTCAGTATTGGATGAAATACTCTCCCAATGGACCTTGAAAACCCTAGGATGAAGTAATGAGGTTTGAAATCTACGAAGTACTATCAGAAGAAGAAAGTAAAAGCAGATGATTAGAGTGAAAAAACAGATCACAGTACAAGTTGAGTATTTCTTATCCAAAATTCATGGGACCAGAAGGGTGTCAGATTTCGAATGGTTTTCAGATTTTGGAATAATATTTGCATATATGTGATGAGCTATCTTGTTAATGGGACCGACATCTAAACACAAAATTCATTGTTTCATATACGCCTTATACACATAACCTGAAGGTAATTTTATACGATATTTTTGTGCATGGGCGTGTAACACAATGACTCACACCTGTCATCCCAGCACTTTGGGAGGCTGATGGGGGAGGATCACTTGAGCCCAGGAGTTTGAGACCAGCCGGGGCAACATATGGAGACCCTGTGTCTGTAAAAAAAAAAATCTTAAAAATTAGCTGGGCATTGTGGCTCGTGCCTGTAGTCCCAGCTACTCAGGAGGCTGAGGTAGAAGGATTGCTTGAGTCCAGAACTCCAGCTTGGGTGACAGAGCAACACTCTGTCTCTTAAAAAATAAATATTAATAATTTTGTGGATGAAAAAAAGGGTTTCTTAAATACATTGAACCATTTTATCCCCTTTGTAGGCATGCTTGCATGGGGAAATCTGGGTGTGTGTGGGAAAGATAAGATGCATGGCAGCTGAAGGGTATTGGGAGGGCCTTTTCCACTTGGGTACACTGAATGAACTGTTTGTCGTGTACCTGTGTTTTGACTGTGACCCGTCACAGGAGGTCAGGTGTTGAATTTTCCGCTTGTGGTATCATGTCAGCACTCAAAACATTTCGGATTTTTGGAGCATTTTTGATTTTGGATTTTCAAATTAGTGATGCTCAACCTGTAATAGTAGTGTAAATGTAAGATAAGGGTGTCACCGAATAGAAAGAGGTTAATAGGAATGACATGGTATGAAGAACTGTGTGTTTGAGATTTTACCTTATTCAGTGTGAGCTATTAGTAACAAAATAGTTACTTGAAAAGAGATAGATTGAGTAAACAGAATACAGAACTTGCACTTTTTTAATCCTTTTGCTTAAAATGTCTTTCCTTTATGCCTAGTAAATTCCAGTGTTTAGGTAATTGATTTAGTATTACCTGTTGTCCCCAGATAAAGGGAACTTCTTCCTTTTGGGCCTTCACTGCACTTTATACATGCCTCTATTAGAGTGCTGTCAGCTCGTTGCATTTTTGTGGTTATGGATCTCTTCTGCTTGTATAACTATAAACTCTGAAAGTTTCAAGACAGTGCCTTATTCATTTCTCTAAGGCCTGTCATAGTATCTAATAGTAGGTGCTCAGTAAATGTGAATATAAGTAAATAAAAAGAGGAAAAGGGCCGGGCGCGGTGGCTCACGCCTGTAATCCTAGCTCTCTGGGAGGCCGAGGCGGGTGGATTGCTCAAGGTCGGGAGTTCGAAACCAGCCTGAGCAAGAGCGAGACCCCGTCTCTACTATAAATAGAAGAAACTAATTGGCCAACTATATATATAGAAAAATTAGCCGGGCATGGTGGCGCATGCCTGTAGTCCCAGCTACTTGGGAGGCTGAGACAGAAGGATCGCTTGAGCCCAGGAGTTTGAGGTTGCTGTGAGCTAGGCTGATGCCACGGCACTCACTCTAGCCTGGCAACAAGCGAAACTCTGTCTCAAAAAAAAAAAAAAAAAAAAGAGGAAAAGAATGTATAATTAAGTGTAATTGAAATTCAGAGCCTTAAAGATATCCAATGCCCATAAAAGGGATAAAATTAAACCCTAAGCAGTTTCAGTAACTTAGGTCCAGATTTAATCACCAAAATTTTGTTTGACAACTATTAGATAAGAATTTTGGCAAAACAGCAAGATAAGTTAGTGATAGCAAGGATTAATAAGTTGCTTATCTTTTCCCCAAAAATTTATTTTTAAATTTTTCCTTCCCTGCAGATTGATAGGCAGCAGTTTGAAGAAACAGTTCGAACTCTAAATAACCTGTATGCAGAAGCTGAGAAGCTTGGGGGCCAATCCTATCTTGAAGGCTGTTTGGCTTGTTTAACAGCATACACCATTTTCTTATGCATGGAAACTCATTATGAGAAGGTAAGACTACATATCTTATCACAAAATCTCTCAAAATCATAAAGAGATGATTACATGGTGACAATTGCCATAAAATTTTTAGGGGCAGTTGTATTAGTAATAATTCAAATTTTGTTGCTTCTATTTCCAAAGCACATAGGAAATTCCTGAGTCTTTCAGAAATAGGTCAAAATTGGTATGTCCATCTGCAATTGACATATTGATGTTCATATTGGCCTAGACTTAAGAAGGATGTAGAAAATCTATATGTTTTCTTTCTACCCAGCTTTCTGAGAATCTTTTGGTTTTATTTCCCAATTTTCTATCTTCGGTCTTATTTTCCCACCTAAGTTCCTTTCATCTCTTCTCCCAAAGACTGAAATAGCTTCAATTTTCCCATTCATTAACTTTTCTGATTGCCTGATTTCCTCTGCCACTGTCCTAGATTGTGCCCTTATCATCTCTCTCCTAGACTGTTAAAGTTGTCTGACTAATCTCATTTCTTCCCTCCTTTACCTTTTCCAAACTATCCGCTGCTGTCTTAATAAAGCACAGCCTTACTTCCCTGCCACTCCTGCTAAGTCAGAGACCTTCCTGGCTTTTCTCTCGTGTCCCTACAACATTTTATTTGCATCTGTTCTCTGCCACTTTTCTCTCTACTTTGGGATGAGGCATTTCACGTTCTTGTCTTATTTGTCCTTCGAGTGTGTATTCTTCTCGTGGACAGTGCCTTAACCATTTTTGTATCCCTCTTAATGCCTAACACCATGCCTTTTATTGTCTGTCAAGCACTCATTGACTGTGTATTAAATGGATGTGTGTTAAATTTCAGTCTTTGGGAACTGAATAACTTTTCACTGTTCATCCCCCATACCTGAAAATGGCATTGAAAAGGCAGGTGTGCTATTAAACAAAATGGGGAGGTGGGAGGTTTGACTTCTGACATCTTAAGTTGAGAAGCCAGCAACTCTTGGGTCTAGCAGGCAGCTGGAAAGAGAAGGTACTTAGGTGCTTAAGTTAATCACAGTAAACCCCTAATATATCAGTAATTCTCACAATGTGTAGAAAATGAAATGCTGTGAGAATATATTATACCCCACCTGAAAGAAATGTCTTGCACTCCATGCAGTAGAGAGTGGATATAGTTGCTCCTAAGATATTTTGATGTGTTAGCTGAAAATGCTGCTGTATTCTGCATTAGCATCCTGATTGTTATTATAATTCTATCTATTCTAAAAGGGTATATTTAAGTATAGTAGCTTATATCCTTCTCCATATCACATAGAGAAGCAGCTTTCATTCCTGTGTGACTTGCAAAATAAGTTATTGAGGATCAGTATCAGCCTTCAGTCTGTGTTCAGTCTTAGTATCTTCTCTCTAGTGTACTTGGTGAGGGAAGGGACAGGAGGGTCATTCGATATATATTTATTAAAAGCCTGCCATGTGCTAAGCAGTGTGCTGGGACATAACTGAACAAGGCAAACGTGGTTGCTGACCTTGTGGAGTTTATAATTTAGTGGTACCAACTGATAAGAACAAGGAAACAAAGCCAACAAAGTTATACGTTGTGGTAGGTGCCTGGAAGGAAACAAACTGGCCTATGATAGAAAATAGGCAGGACCTAATTTAGACCGTGTGGTAAGAAGAGGTCTCTGGCGTCGTGACATTTAAGCTGCTACTTGAAGGATGAAAATCCTGGGGCACTGAGGCTGAGAGATGAACATACACAAAGGCCCAGAGAGCTCACGGGTCTTGGAAACTGAGAGAGGGCCATTCAGCAGGAGAGAGGAGGGGCCCTGAACAGCTAGAGGTGGATTTGGAGAATTAAGCAGGAGCCATATCATATAGGAGTATGTATTCCATGGAAAGAAGTTTAAATTTAATTTTTAGGGCAGTGGAAAGATATTCAAGATTTTAAGCAGGAGAGTACTATGATCAGATTTTCGTTTTAAAGAGATATCTTTGCTCTGTGGAAAAAGGCATAGCAAGTTAGGAAGCTCCACCAGATTCCAGATGAAAAATAGTATAGCTTGAACCAGCAACGGAGCCGTGGAGATGGAGGAAGGGATATGTTGATGTTAGGAGCCGAATGTAGGAGGGGAGGCTGAATTTGTGCGGATAGAAACGTGGTCATCCAGGATGGTCATTTAAAGATGTGTATAATATTAATAATTTAAGGTAGAAATACATTAACTTTTATTTGCCTATGTATATTTGCTGAAATAGATACAACTACTGATGTCAGCTGTAAAAAGAAATTGGTAATTGGGTGCCAGCCAAGTCATATACTAATTATGGGCTCTTGGACAAATTAATCTGAGTTCTCTCAACTGTGAAATGGATCTTAGAATTAATGAATTGTGGGATAGGTTTTAAGTAATGTTTTAACTTGCATTTATAGATAATATATGAGATACTACTTTATAGGCCTAATCAAAGTCTCTTTCATTTTTGTTTTTGTTTTTAATTTTTATGGGCAAACCCCCGGACCAGAATATGTTCAGACAGACTCCCTCTTTCTTTTTATAAAGCAAATATTATAAAGCAAGTAAAAGCCAAATAAAATTAATCAAGAAACCAAGACTTAAGGCATGGCCACATTTTTCAAATAGGTGATTGTTTTTGTTTTTTTTTAAAGAAACTGGACATGGATAACTAGATTGCGCAAAATTAATAACTGGAATGGTCATAATTAGGATATAATGTACCACACTTTTAAAAGAAAACTTTTTAAATGTGTATTTGTATTTTTGATAAAACAATACAAATATAAGGGTAACTGCCCTCTCCCTTCCCCGGTTTGTTCTCTAGGAATTTCTGTGCTATTATTTCCTACTTATGAAAGGACAGGGTTGAGTCATTTAGTCTCTTTTGTTTTAAACACTAAAACCCCTAGTCTACGAACAGTAAGCCAAATGTAATAGTGCTTATACTTCGTCATGTGTGTTAAATTTTTTGAAATTGCAAATAGGCCTTTTAAAACTCACTAGAACAATCATGCATTTTTCCCTATAATGTGCTATTTAATGATTTAATTAAAATGAAGATAAAGACTTCAGTGTTATTTCTCTATTGTTGCTACCCATTATAATTAGGGAACAAATGGGCTTGTAGAAGATTCTCCTCTCAGTAGCTCTCTGCCTTGTTCATCAACTAGAACACATCCCTTCTGCCTATGTGCTGTAATTTCTAAAACAAACACAGGAGAGAACTTGGATATGTTTTAAAATACTAAGGTCCTGGTGTTCTCACGTAGCCTCTATCAGGCTATTTTCCTTGAAGGTCCCCAGTTTACTATTCTCAGGGAGAATAGTAGTTTCTCCTGAGGTTTGATTGTGTTTCATTTTGTCAGTATTATACAAATTGAGGTTTTGTTGAAGGTTTGCGAATAACAGATGAATTTGATAAATATTATGGCTTGTTTTGACATCAATTTACCAAAACTAAAGTATGAATAAAATGTCAACATAAAGTTTCGTGGGGTGAGAATGGTGCATTGTCCTGTCTGGGATTGCAGTATGAGTTTACTGATATTAATGCTTTTCTATTATTAAAGAGACTAAGAGTTTAAAAGCATCTTGTTGAGGACAGTGTTGCCTTTACCAAAATAGTATAAGAGGATTTGGAGCTTAATCAAAAAGAAAACTAATTGTTTTCTTTCTGAACTGATATCCAAGTGCACATGAATGTTATTAAAGTTTAAATAAAAATGTTGCAAAACAAAGTTATGTTTGAATCAAATACAGGAATGCTATTTCTTGACTAGTAACCTGAAAGGAGGAGGAAAGCTGCTCTGAAGGAATCCTTTCTTTGAAACCAGCCATGCAGGCACTTTTCTGAGTGCCACCCTAGAGTTATGGACTGGGGCTGAGTGTCCAATTTCCCATTCTGGCAGGTGAGCTGCAAAGGAAATTGGAGAGAAGACTGAGTCCTGAGTTGGGCACCTTTATGGGCTACTTCCTCCTATTCATTATTTTAGGATGATTGACAAATTCTGATATTATATAAAGATAGTCCCTAAGGATTTTTGTTGTTATTGTTGTTCATAAAGACCAAGCACAGCTCAAATTCTTTGAGAGCTGAAAATAAGAGAATGATATACACATTGCTTCAGGTAATTAGGTGAAAAAATAAATCTCTTTAGAAATAGTATTCTTAATTTACTATGTAAAGAACCATGCAGATTGCTCTTTCAGTAATATCATGCTCTTTTTAAAAAAGTGCAAAACATGAGATTTTATTAGCCCCAAAATTGTAACCTTAATAAACTATTTAAATTATTCTCCTTCAATAAGGGCTTGTAAATTCTCTTTCAATAAGGGCTTGAAAATTCTTTATACAAACCATACAGCGTTTTTAACTCTAAATCAGTTTACATACAAAAGCATCTAAATTGTGACATCTTAATTTGTTAGTTTGGTCTGGTACGTTATACACACTTACTAAATCATTGTTTAATTTCCAACTTTATTTTCATATAGTTCTTTTTTCCCTTTATGTTGTGATCACATTTGTGACTTTATCATTTGCTAATAGTGTAAATTTAAGGAAATATATAGTAATTTAAAGAGCTGGATCAAAGCCTCTTTGAACATTAGAGCCAGAGAGGGGTTATGATGACTTTGAGCCTGAAGTAAAGCATGTAACTCTTTGATTTCGGATATAGCTTTTAAGATTTATTTTCTTCTAGCTTATCTGTCTCAGAATTGCCCTTATTAAAGCTGGAGATTTGGCAATTTCCAGACGTTCCTCTGTATCCTATCTGGTTTTTGTCTACATTTGCTTTGACTTTTACAAGCATAATACTAAACTTATAAATTGAGGTTCCTGTCTAGGAAACGAACAAACCTCAGAATAGCACTACATGCGGTAATGGAAATGATATAAGACGCTTGTGGTCATCAGAAACTCCACGGCTGCTAATGCCCACATGCTTCACAAAGGAAATAAACTTTGCAATTCTAAAATGACTGAGCCACCTTTTGTTATAGGCCAGCCTTATGTCTTTACTAGAATTGATAAAAATGTACAAAGGAGAGAAAAAATGGTTCCTTAAGTTTTTTAGAAGAAAAGGCCAAGAACTAACTAACTATCCTTGATTTTAGATGTCACAGAACAACACTTTATGGCTGGGGCTAGGGGAGCACAACTGGCTGTTGTACGTGTAAGCGTCTGTGCATGTCTCCACCTCCAGGATTGAGGCGATGGGGAGGTTAGCAGGCGGGGGTTGGTCCTCATTGGGCGCTCGTGTGCGTTTGCGGTGAGGCTGCCTCTGACTTGGAGGGGCCGCCACGCTGTGCTGCGTGTTGTATGCAGCTGGCATGAGCAGTGACTCAAGCTGTACTCTGCCATATGAATATACCCATGACTTGCCTTGAAAACTAATTCCACTGCCTAAATATTTTGAGATCTAGCTGACACCTAAAGGGAGATCTGATAAAATTTGTAAAAAATCTGTGGTGTTTCTTTCTGTCAGGTTCTGAAGAAAGTCTCCAAATACATTCAAGAGCAGAATGAGAAGATATATGCTCCTCAAGGCCTCCTCCTGACAGATCCTATTGAGAGAGGACTTCGAGTTGTATCTTTTTAGTCCAGATCGCAAGGTCTAAATATTTATAAAAGGAAATATTTGTTATTATTTGGCATTGGCTAGAGAGAATGTGCTCCCATCTCTTATATTTGCCTTAGGAAGTTACTATGTGAATCACACGCTTACCATAAGCCTCCTGTCGCCAGCATTTTTTCTCAGAGCACGTCTCTCCGTCCTCTGCACTGTGCAGGTCTCTGTGGACTGTGTGGTATTCTGCTTACCCACTCTCGGTGGCTCTGAGGGCATCTTGTAACAATAACAGGGGTGACAGGAGTAATGCATTTCAGCTGCAGAAACTACACCGAACGCCCCTTTGAAATGCATGAGCTCATAATGTTGGTGAGACTTGTCCTCCAAATGAAGTGCAGTTCCTGGGGTTCATCGGAGGAGCTGAAATCAGTTACAGCTGCCAGATGTGTAATTTCATTACCTTTGACATATTGTGCATATATTTTGGAGGCAGTGGGCTTTGAAAATCACTAAGTGAATTTGGTAAATAAAATTGCAAAAAACTAATTTAGCTTGATAACTGGAATAATGGGTAAATAAATTTTTTCAAAACCTCTAGGTCACATAATCCTAGGCCTTCCAGCTGATAATGATTTCAGCAGTTTTATTATACTCTGCAGCAATGGTTCTTAAACTTTCAGAGGTCATGAAGCCTGTCCCAAGAAAAAGATTTCATATAAAGATTTCAGGGCATTTTTGAATCCCTGAATTCATTACCTGCATGGATCCTCAGTTAGAAACCCCCCTAGTTCTACAAATAAAGCATCCTTTTCAGATTGTTTTTTCCAAAAAATAAGTCATCCATGTTGGGAAGGAACTACATGTGGAATACTATTAATAGAAGTAATTACATTTCTTAAAATTTTCACCAAGGAGAAAGCATCATGTTTAACTTTAATAGGAAAAAGTTTTAATAATTTAAACATAAAGCAATTTGAAAACAGAGTTTGTGCAGATCATACATGCCATCTTGCCAAGTCTCTTTTATGTGTTATGTTCTGTAGTGTGTTTTCTTAACAGCCATGCTGTTTAGATTGAAATTACCATTTATGAAGACAGAAGCATAAGCAGTGGAAGATAAACCATAAAATTAAAGGTAAATATGAAATTATATAGTTTATATGCAGTTTTTGTAAATTTGGAGTATACATGAATTGTCTTCAATGCATGGTAAATAAATCAGTAAATCATGTAGTTAAATAGGGGCATATTGACTCTATTAGCTTAAGCTAATCACCATATTAGCTTGATATTTAAAATGTGTATTTAACCTAAGTTCTATTTGGTAATACAGAATTTAATCCTGATTCTCCCCCCATATTGTTTTTGTTGGTAGGGAGAGTGGGGGGGGGTGATACTTGCCTTGCTTTAATATCTTGAAACTATTATAAGCATTTAAACAGTTGGGTTTTGCATATAAGAATCAGCTCAGATATTTACCTACCTACGTGACAAATGACTTGAATAAGCAAAGGAACATTCCCGAGGGGAGGGGCGAGATTCTGAATATTTCGTTTGTTATGTTTAAGTGGCTTCAGAGCCCTGTAGAAGAAAACTTACCTACTGGGTAGAACCAAAAGTTTTGTTCCTCTGTTTAAAATGTTAATGTTCTTGCATATGCAAATAATACCCTTTAATAGGTATGAGACTAATCAACACTAATAAGAATCTATAGGCAGAATCATGGCGAAGCCGCAGCACGCTAGCATAGCCTTGTGAGTGGCAGCGAATAGCACGCCGTGGCCTCTGCCGGTCCCAGTGACGCGCTCACTCCGCGTGCCCCGCTGCTGCACTTCCCTGCTCTGCTCTGCTTGCAGGCGTCCGTCTCTGATGAACAGACGGCACAGACACAGAATGTGCTGGAGTGGGCACGCCTCTTTCTAGGGCAAAGTCAATAATAATAGCTGCCATTTTGAGGGTGCCTACTATGCGCTAGGTACAAAGGTACTTCTAAGTCTCAAAAGAACCCTGCAAAGTGTTTTCCCTGTTTCATAGATGAGCAAACCACGGTACAAGTGGATTCAACGAGCATTGGGGTGTGAGCTCAGTTCTGATTGCCCATAAAACCTCTGTGTTTTACACCATGTTTCCTCTCAGTATTTATAGCAGCAGGAACATGGAGAAGGGAAGAGTTCCTCAGATTATTCTGGATGTTTCTCCCCTTCTGCTCTTTTTCAATACTTTTTAAAAGAATACATTTTGTCGGCTCCTGTACCATTTATTCAATCCTACAAGCCGCCCGACACTCAAAGCTGCCTTCTTTAGCGTTAGTGTGTCACCTGAATTCTTGAAAGCCAAAGCTGTAATAATGACATCCTCTGCTATATGTTTTATTTCTTTAAAATACTTTGTTTTGGAACACTTAGTGTTACTTGTTCATACACTTTCTCATGTACAATTTCCAAACTGATACTTTTCAAATGAGCAACCGGGAACCTTATGTGTGGTTTTTGTGACGTGCCATTGGAATACGTTTGTTTTATCGGTTGCAGCTGCGTTGACTTGGCACAGCCCATTTGTCCTGGCTCATTTTGCAGCTATTACCGTGTGACAGTATGTTTTCTGAGGTGGCGTGGAGTGTGGGGTTTTGAGCAGTTACACACCAGAGGCTAATCTATCAGTATTCGTGCAGCTGCGACAGTCTGCATGGAAAGATTTACAGGAAGGACTTGTGGATAGTTTCATGAATGCACATATTTTTGTTCAACATAATTTAGTTTTCAGAGCTATGTATTCTTTAGATCTAGGGTCCAGTATGGACTACGATCTTGTAGAAGGGAGGGAAACTCTAAGAATAATTTCTTAAGTCTGCAAGGTATCTGCAGGTTGGAGCAGTATATACAAATTAGTGACTTAACAAAAGAATGCACAAACCATGGGGTGGCTTTCATTTTTAAAAGGAACTTTAAACAAAAATATTTCGCTTTTTTTAAGTTTAATTTTGTTACTATCTTACATATATCTTTATTATTAGATACATTGTTGGTGTTTTCTCTGTCATCTCTATGTAAAATGGAGTATATGATTATTCTATAACAACAAACAGCCGTTTCGCACTATTCTAAATGCTTAATTTTAATCATCACAACAACCCTGTGATGTGTATATACTGTTATCTGTTTTCCAGATGAAGAAACTGGGGCACAGAGACCTGGAGTTACTTGTCCATGGTTAAACAGCTAGTAGGTAGCAATCCAGGCAGCCTGGCTCTGTGGTTGGCACTTGGCCTTTTGCCATCCTACCTCTCGTGATGTGGTTGATCAGAGATCCAAACATATAGAACTTAAATTTCTAACTGTTGAGCTATATACGCACTCAGACAAGTGGTACAGATTTTATTAGATAGAATCCCAGGTTAATAGAACATAGCCCACATACCATAAGCTCATACCAGTTGAGTCAGAGAAACGGTTTTAGAAGTTGTTTCTGGTGTTCCTTTCTAAAGCCTTTATTTTTTCCCCTCTGATTGCAGATCCCGCCTCCAGCTGGGATCCTCGTGTGTCCACTGGCCGATCGCAGAGCGTCCCTACCTCCTCTCCAGAGCATCATTCCTTTGTATCTGCTGCCAGAGCCACGGTGCCATTTACTCCAAGGACTAACTTTCTAAAATTCCACACCTGGAGCGACCTACAGTCGCTCAGCATCCACTTTGTGTCTCCAGATTGTGTAGGACTCTGTAACCTTTTGATTCGTTCCTGAGAGAACACAATGAAGCATTTCACTTTTTTTATTCAAAGCCATTTAATAAAATAAAAAATACGCAGTTGGTCAGCCCAGCCCAATGCAAAGTTTATTTCTTCTCTGCCACCAGTATGCACCATTGGTTCTCTCCATTCTTTGGGCCAGCTTCTCAGGTGGCTTTGGGCCTCATCATGTCATAGCTTAGCCAGTATTCAGTCTTATTCCCCAAAATTAACAAAATGCTTTTCTCCAGGATTTTGGTGAGGGGTTGGCTGTGTCTGTGGTTTGGCTAATGCATCTCCCAGATTTCAAAGAACTACCATTTTCTAATCAGTTTCTCATTGATTTCTAAATAGCTCATTTAAAAAAAATGTATAATGTTATTTGTTTTATTATAGCAATTATTTCTAATTAAAGCAGTATTTAATGCAATTTCCAATTATTCGGAGAATTTTTATGTTATTATTGCATTACCTTGACTGTTGGGAAAATGTGGTATGTGTTGCTTGTTCATTACAAAAATAAGTAAGCACAATAAAGTGGATGCTAAACCATCAAACACATAAATGTCCCTGCTGTGTCCCTGAATGTGTAATGAGCAAGTACAATAAATATTTTAATTATAGTTTTGTTATAAATATAACTTATGAGAAAAAAATTTGATAGGAATAATACTGTATATTACTAATTTTTAAACTATCCCTCCTGGCAAACCTTATAACCCACAGAATTTCCTCATATACAGTATTCAGTACACAGAAATCTTACGATTGGGTTAAGTACAGTAAGTTATTTCTAAGTAAAACTCTCCAGTCTGAGTCAGTATTTCTAGCTCTCCTTCTGGCTGTTCGTTCTTAGCATCAGGGCTTCTTACGCCTTTTACTCGTCTTTGGGGTTTGAGAGCACTGTATTCTGGAAAAAAAAGTTAAGAAATACATTGGGGAAGTGAAACAGTTAAAATTTTACTTTGAGATATTGTAGGTGCTAATGTTGGATTTACTCTTCCAGATTTAATTTCTTTTATGAGTCTGTTAGTTACTCGAAAAATCCCCTAAGTTTGTGTGATATTGTATAATTGTGTAAGAACTCTTTTGTTACTTTACAGCCTGTGATAATGTGTCTGCCTTTTAAACCCGTTGCAATAACTTTGCTGAAATATTAACACATTAGTAAAACTTTTCTTAAACAAATCGTCTGTTTGTCATATTTGGTGTGATTTTGTAAAGTGGTAAGTGATGTGGCATTAAATTTGGCAGATGGACAAATTACTAGAATTGTAGTATAGGATAGGATAGGATAGCTTAGTGTTTTTAAACAAACATCTTAGATTTATATAGTATGTTACAACTCTCAGTTTCTTAACTGCTTTATCGTAAAAGAGCAGACATGGTAGCATAGGTAAAAATCCAAGAAATAGTCCCTAGTAGTAAAAAAAAAGTATTTGTTTAAAGAAATAAGAGATTGGAATGTTTTTTTTTTTTTTTTTTTTTTTCGGAAAATGCTATCAATTAGATCGTCTGATGACTTGGTTTTTTAAGTGAGGTAGATTTGGAGAGAATACTAACTTACAAGATACAGTCTATATTCTGACTTTCTCTTTTGTGAGTTTTCTTATATAAAATTATTTTCCTATGTAAAATTTTCATTGTTTTTCCTATCCAATGAAACTAATAGTAAATAATACTCATGTAGCCAGTAGTCAAAAAAGAGGTCATAACACCCAATCATATTGTTTCCACTTCCACTGGACTCTAGCACCTCGCATACACTGAAGTCATAATTTCTCAGGAGTGACGTGCTTTGTTTTTTGTTCGTTTTATTTTTAAGTCAAAGAAGGTCAGAGTATTTATTGGTGCTATACTTCCCTCCATCTTACCAGCCTCCCCCCTCCCCCGCCCCTCTCTGAGACAAAGGGAGCTGTAAATTCCAGGAGAGCAGACGTGGCTTCTCATCCTTGCATCTTCCCCAGACTCCACGCATGCCCGTGCACAGTGCTGCACACACCCAGCGCTGACGTGTTTGTGAAGTGAGTGAGCGAGAGAGCTAAGCTGACCATCAGGTCATTAACATCGGAACAGCCGCTTTGCTGTACCTGCATTAGTAAGGTGGTTGCCTGACTTGACAGTAACTTGTGTGTTCCCTTTGTAAAGTTGCCTTCTGGAACCGGGAGAGCACACCTGTGGCTTGTTCTCCGGTCGAGTGGGACCTCAGCCTGGAGACCACTCTGGAGGAGTCCTGTGACCTTTCTTTTCTAGATAAGAATCCCAAAGGAAAGGAATGGAGTTGCACTCAAACCTCTGAGGGGGGTAGGTAATGTAATAATTAAGGAACCTCCTGCTCACACTTCATCCTTTATTCTGTATGTCATTGACATCACTAAAGTGTGACGTTAAATCTAGCTATGATTGATTGAAACTGGAAAACATCCTAAAGTATATTTCTCCTTAATTCTTTTCATTTATTTAATCTTCTAATTAAAGTTTATTTTTATTTGTTTCTTTTTTTTCCCTTTTATTTCATCATATTATGGAGGTACAAATATTGTTAGGGCTACAAATATTGCCCCTGCCCCTCCTCCCTCCCCCAAACGTGCCAGAGATTCAAGCATGTCCAGCCCCCAGGTGGTGCACACCGCACAAGTCATGTAAGTATACACCCCTCCCCTTCTGCCCCTCCCTCCTGCCCACCACCCTATAAAATGTTTTGTTTTGTTTTTTTACATTTTGGTTACATTATTTATCTTTGCTTCTCCCTAAGAAGGGTTTGTTTTCTTGTTTTTTTTTTTGAAACAAGGTCTCACTCCTTCGCCTGGCTACAGTGCAGTGGCTCATCAAAGCTCACTGCAACCTCAAACTCCTGGACTCCAGCGATTCTCACTGTGTTGCCCAGGCTGGTCTCCCAACTCTTGAGCGCAAGTGATCCTCCCACCTCAGCCTCCCAAAGTACTTGGGATTATAGCATGAACCACCACACCTGGCCTAAAAATTCATTTTTAGACAGTTTCCACTTTTCAGAGTTCTCGAAGGACCTAGTAAAGCATGAATAATACTTTGTACTCGTTTGAGTCCTTGCTACTAAATTTCTCTATGTAAAATCAGTTACAAGAATGATACAAAACTGTGCTTGTCACTCTTAGCGGATAAAATGTATCACAGGTTTATAATCTAACATCACCAGAGACTATAGTACATATAGCAGCTGAAATAGGCCAAAGTGGTCCCCATCCTCATTTGTGCTAGGTTCAAGGAACATAAACATCAATAAATGTAACCATTACACAGTGACCAACTGCAATCTGCACATGTGTAAGTATAAAGGGTTTTGTTTTCCTTCCTCCCCAGAGCTGGAGTAAACGGTTTGATGATAGTACTCTCCAGGGCTCCAATTCAGTTTCCAATAAGCCTTCAGGTTCCCTTGATCCTTAGCAGCACTAGACTCTGAGCTCTGCTAATTCTAGTTATACCCCCCAAAACAGAGAGAGATGAAAATATGGAAAAATGGCTTTTTCTTGCTTACAACTATGCCAGCAGATCTCTAAAATAAATGAATTACACTTCTAGCCTAGAAGCAACATATAACCAAAGGTAAAGTTTGGGTCAAGCTGAATTTCTCACTTAAAGTAAACATGTCTAAGATGAAGCACAGAATAACCGGGAAACTCACAATCTTACTTCTCCACAGAGAAAAATCAAGGCAATTGCAGTCTTCACAGAGTTCCATGGGTCACATTCTAACAAGTTAGCTTACAGAGTGACAGCTGTTCAAAGCAAGATCAGCAATAATAGACCAAATGACCCAAGGCTTCTGGTTCTTGTTTCAAAAAATACCAATAAGCAACAATTTCATGACTAGATTTCAGTATTTTCAGTTGAAAATATTTTCATAACTGAACATAAACTGAAAAATCTAATAATTTCTATTACTTAAGGATACTTACTCTAAGGGTGGAATTATTACATTATCTGTTCTGAGCTAACTTGGTAGTAATATACTCTGAAAATGGCACGTGACATAGAATATAACCATCCTATGCTATAGCGAGTCTGATAAATAGAGGGTGAATGTTGAACTCAGTTAATTAAGATGTTTACTTTCACTTATGAGAAACCTGTAAGAAGTGTTTCAGTGAATAAACCTATACATAATGCCAGAAGGTTTTAAGATGTCACAAATTTAAAATTTCACAATTTTCTTCAATCAACCCAAGCCTTTATTCCTTATGATTTTAAGTATTGACATCTCGAAAGATGTATAATTTATAGATGCTACATGTAGAAATGAAAGTAATAATGGTAACACAATAGCTCCACCTCTTAATTAGAAAGTTTGGAACTTAAGAAGAATTTTCTACATGCCTCCTGTTTTCATGAAAAAAAAAATTTTCTATAAATCTTACTGTACTTTGTCAGCTCAAGAAAACCATTACCTATAGTTGACCCTTGAACAACTCAGGGGTTAGTGGCACCGACCCCCCTGTGCATCAAAAATTTGTATATAACTTTTGACTCCCTGTAAACTTAACTAGTAATAGCCTATTGTTGACCGGAAGCCTTATGGTCACACAATCGATTAACACATATTTTATATGCTATACCTATTTTATATTTACTCTTAAAGTAAACTAGAGAAAAGAAAATATTGTTAAGGACTATAAAGAATGATTTATTTAGCGTTCATTAAATAAAAGTGGATCATCACGGAGGTCTTCATCCTCACCTTTACCTTGAGTAGTCTGAGGAGGAAGGGTCTTGCTGCTTCCCATGGAGGAGGTGGAAAGGATGGCAGGAGAGGTAGGCACCCTCAGTGTAACTGTCACTGAAAAAAATCCCACGTTTAAGTGGACCTGCACAATTCAAATCTGTGTCGTTCAAGGGTTGACTATATACAGGTGATTCTGAACTGTAGTCTAATAGTTGTCCCACAGAAAAAAAACTATTTCAGTGTAGTCTAAAGTTCTCAAAATGGTGCCCATGTCTATGATCCATTAACACTAAGAAAAGAAAGACAAAATGGAGGAAGACAATAAATGAAATTTTGAAACAGGGCACATTCTTGAGCAACGTTAGCCTTTTCCTTTGGCTATATTCAACTTTTTCTATGACTATATTAGAGAGAGAAAGCACTGCCCGGAAGTTATAAGCATTTAGAAATACTGAGTTTGGCCTGGTTTTTGTTTTGATCTTAGGACAACTGCCTCAAGTATTCTATGGAAAACTTCCCAGTACTTAGGCATATGAGCTTTTCATCAAAGATGCCCATGACATAAAGGCACATGTACTTCTTTAGGGAAGGTCACCTTTCTATATGCATGACTCATTCAGAAAATCATTTTAATCAACACGCCAAATGCTATACTAGCCAGAGTGTTTGAGATGATAGATTTGATTTTTTTTTTTTAAATGTACGGTCATTGTATATTCTGCAACAAGCAAAGGGCACGGATCTTTTATTTATCTCCTCACAGTGTTTCAGAGAAGATCTAGTGTGAATTGCATATCTTTTACATTTGTAAGGGGGACCCAGGCCTGGCCCTGGCCGTACACAGCGGGTATTGACTGGGCTTTATACCACTGGCCAGAAAAATACTTGCAAATTCAACCAGCCAACAGCTTTCCTTATGAGGCCAAAAGGAAACAGTCTTGAGAGCACTTTTCCGCCTTCCTTAAAAATGCAAGCTGTCCTCTCTCCTGTCCTTAGGCCCAATCTTCATGCACTCGGAAAAGCTGGGGTCAAACTTTGCTGAACTACACGCTCCCAAACCTTAGCGCTTTGGTCTTTGGGGCAGTGAGACCAAGAATGTGTTGAAATTCAGAGGAAAGAAACGCTGAGGACGGCTGGTGACCAACAGCCAGCGAGGGGAGTGACAGGAGAAAAACAACGACGGTATTACCTTGTGTTTTGAAAGCACCTTTCTCAGGTAAAGCTCCCGAGTCTGTGCAGACACACAGTTCAGTGTCGTCTCCTACCCTCGGTGGCTAAAAGTCTGTTCAGACTGCGGGGGAGAGGCCCTTTGAGGGAAGCCGGAAGCGGCCCTTGCACGGAAAACAGGGCAGCAGAGAGGAAAGCGCCTGCAAGTCACATCAGGGACGAAAACCGACAACATCGCGCTGGGAGGGAAAAGACAAACGTATGTAACTTCTGTGCTTTCCCCCCGCACGTCCGGGTAACTCGGGGAGGCACTGGGTTAGCTCGGCGGCAGCGGGGTCGCCCGGCGGGCTGGGGCCGGGCCCGGCCGGGCCGCTCTCCGGCGCTGCTGCTGCGGTCGGGTGCGGCGCTTCCGGGAGTGAGAGACGGCGCTTCCGGGAGTGAGAGACGGCGCTTCCGGCCGGCGGAGACGAAGGAAGCGGCGCCCACAGCCCCGCTCCGCCAGGCGGCGCCAGGCTAGCTACCACGCGCCCAGGCGCCACGCCCGGCCGCGGCGGCGAGCGCCCCCTCGCGGCGGCCCTGGCGGTGCAGTCGGGGACGCAAGCCCGAGTTGCCGCCCGGGTGGGCGGGGCTAACCCGGAACAGCCTCCCGCCCCGCCTCCTCAGGTGGGCGGGTCACGGAAGCCGCCGGGCTTTCCCCCCGGGGCCGTGATTGGTTAGCGGTGCCCGTGCGTGGTGACGTCGTGCCTGGACGGAAAGTTTCCGAGAGGAGCGCGGGAGCTGAGGAGCCGGCGGGTCGGGTGCGCGCCGGGTAGGTTCCGAACGCATGGTTCCGCTGCCCTCGCGCTTCCGGTAGCTCCCTGCCGGGGGTCGGCGGCTTCCCCAGGAGCCTGCTGTCCTCGCCCTGCCCCTCCGGCGTGCCGCTCTGCCTGCCCGGGCCCGGGCGAGCCTCGAGCGGGACCTCCGCGGGGGCGGGCCCCTAGGAGAGCGGAGGGAGGGATCTGCTCGCGGCGTCCCTCAGGCTCCGGGGTCCTCCCTCGGCCCCGCCACCCACCTCCTACGCCTTTGGGATCACCGCCCGGTCGATGTCGCCGGGCCTGGTGGCTCTGAGGACCGTGCTGAGTGCGGGGGCCACACAGGTCACTGCCGCCCCAGTACTGCGTGCCAGGCACCGAGCAGATCCGCGGTTGGATTCGTATTTGAACCGAGGCGAACACAGCCACTGAGGGAAACGACCTGTATTGGAAAGGCAGATGTGAATAGTTACTGTCTGGTGCGAGATAGGTGCTCATGTCGAGGTGTACGCTGTGGGAACAGAAGGGGCGGCCTGTTGGAGAAACTGATACCTGACCTACGCCTGGAAGGAAGAGACAAAGCACTAAAAAACTAAAGTCTGTGGTTCAACAACTGTCAGGGGGCCCCTGCCACCCCAGTAAACCTTTCCCTGCTCCAGATCTGTTCTTGCAAACAAATGGAAAACACATTGCAGGCTAATTGCTTCTTTTATTCTCATTAGGTTTCTGGTTTCAGGGAAGATGACAGAGGAACTGGATCTCATGGGACAGGACTCTGATGGGAGTAGTGAGGAGGTGGTCCTAACTCCTGCAGAGCTCATTGAAAGGCTGGAGCAGGTGAGCATTTCGGGCAGAATCCCTTTGCTCCAATCTTAGCGTTTTTGTTTAGTCCATCTGTGTAAATGTCAGGGAGCAGAAAATAAGGAAGTGGAATTCAAGGCATATTTCAAGAGAACAGGGGGACTGGATCTTACCACCTACACAGAAATGGGAAGTAAGGGAGACATCCTTTATCAGAAACCTCAAAATATCAAACAGAATCCTCAGTGGAGTCAGTAAGATAAGGGACAGATTTGGGCACATTGAAAACAACTCACAGAGCAAGGATCTACTTGGTATTTGCAGGGACTGTAGAGGTGTGGTGAGACTTGTGATTTTTATACCTTAGTCCCTGAAACATCTGCTGTTTCCCTGGAAAATGGGTTGGTTAGCAAGAAAATGCTGAAACACTTTCAGAGTCATATTCTTCCTTTTCCTCCCATCTATTTTCTTGAGTCAACCGTTCTCTCTGTTTCCACTGCTTATCTAAAAGCATTTCTGGGCCAGGCTCATGCCTCACGCCTGTAATCCTAACACTCTGGGAGGCCGAGGCAGGAGGATTGCTTGAGCTCAGGAGTTCGAGACCAGCCTGAGCAAGAGGGAGACCTCGTCTCTACTATAAATAGAAAGAAATTAGCCAAATAACTAAAAAACTGGAAAAAATTAGCCGGGCATGGTGGTGCACCCTGTAGTCCTAGCTACTCGGGAGGCTGAGGCAGGAGGATCACTGGAGCCTAGGAATTTGAGATTACTGTGAGCTAGGCTGATGCCAGGGCACTCTAGCCCGGTCAACAGAGCAAGACTCTGTCTCAAAAAAAATAAAATAAAATAAAAGTATTTCTTTTTGTCATAATAGCTATGATTTATCAACCTTTTCCTGAGTGCCAGTAACTTAACCGTGTTAAGTTCTTTTGGAGCTCTGGTAATTTAGGAGTTCATGCTATCTGGACTCAAGTCTCTCATGCCAATCCTCTATTGTGTGACCTGAAACAAGTTCTGTAGTTTATCTCAAGCCTTTCTTTGACTGTAAAACGAAAATGATAACAGTAGCTACTTCCTGGTTTTGTTGTAAAGATAATATGAGATAATGTATATAAAGTGCTCAGCATGTTGTCTGACACATGATAAGCACTCACTAGTTATTAGTTGTTACTACTATCAGTAATTTCCTGACTCTCTCTAATTAACTGCCCCTTTCCAGAACTCTCTCAAGTTTTCTGCTTTAGTATCCTTCATTCTTTACTGCCAAACATGCTACCATGAGCAACAAAACTGAAGGAAGATAATTTTTAAATTATATGATAATCCTTAATATTTAGCAGTGATTGTTAATCTGTTTTTATATCACAGACCTTTTTGAGAAGCTGGTGAAAATTCTGGTCCTTCATCCCAGAATAATGCACATATGCAGAAGGATCGTCGTGCCTGGACGGAAAGTTTCCGAGAGGAGCGGCGGAGCTGAGGAGCCGGCGGGTCGGGTGCGCGCCGGGTAGGTTCCGAACGCATGGTTCCGCTGCCCTCGCGCTCCGGTAGCTCCCTGCCGGGGTCGGCGGCTTCCACGAGCCTGCGTCCTCGCCTGCCCCTCCGGCGTGCCGCTCTGCCTGCCCGGCCGGCGAGCCTCGAGCGGGACTCCGCGGGGGCGGGCCGTAGGAGAGCAGAGGGAGGGATCTGCTCGCGGCGTCTCCAGGCTCCGGGGTCCTCCTCGGCCCCGCACCCACCTCCTACGCCTTTGGGATCACCGCCGGTCGATGTCGCCGGCCTGCTGGCTCTGAGGACCGTGCTGAGTGCGGGGCCACACAGGTCACTGCCGCCCCAGTACTGCGTGCCAGGCACCGAGCAGATCCGCGGTTGGATTCGTATTTGAACCGAAGCGAACACAGCCACTGAGGGAAACGACCTGTATTGGAAAGGCAGATGTGAATATTACTGTCTGGTGCGAGATAGGTGCTCATGTCGAGGTGTACGCTGTGGAAACAGAAGGGGCGGCTGTTGGAGAAACTGATACCTGACCTACGCCTGGAAGGAAGAGACAAAGCACTAAAAACTAAAGTCTGTGGTTCAACAACTGTCAGGGGCCCTGCCACCCCAGTAAACCTTTCCCTGCTCCAGATCTGTTCTGTCTTGCAAACAAATGGAAAACACATTGCAGGCTAATTGCTTCTTTTATTCTCATTAGGTTTCTGGTTTCAGGGAAGATGACAGAGGAACTGGATCTCATGGGACAGGACTCTGATGGGAGTAGTGGAGAGGTGGTCCTACTCCTGCAGAGCTCATTGAAAGGCTGGAGCAGGTGAGCATTTCGGGCAGAATCCCTTTTCTCCAATCTTAGCGTTTTTGTTTAGTCCATCTGTGTAAATGTCAGGGAGCAGAAAATAAGGAATGTGGAATTCAAGGCATATTTCAAGAGAACAGGGGGACTGGATCTTACCACTACACAGAAATGGGAAGTAAGGGAGACATCCTTTATCAGAAACCTCAAAATATCAAACAGAATCCTCAGTGGAGTCAGTAAGATAAGGGACAGATTTGGGCACATTGAAAACAACTCACAGAGCAAGGATCTACTTGGTATTTGCAGGGACTGTAGAGGTGTGGTGAAATTGTGATTTTATACCTTAGTCCCTGAAACATCTGCTGTTTCCCTGGAAAATGGGTTGGTTAGCAAGAAAATGCTGAAACACTTTCAGAGTCATATTCTTCCTTTTCCTCCCATCTTTTTTCTTGAGTCAACCGTTCTCTCTGTTTCCACTGCTTATCTAAAAGCATTTCTGGGCCAGGCTCATGCCTCACGCCTGTATCCTAACACTCTGGGAGGCCGAGGCAGGAGGATTGCTTGAGCTAGGAGTTCGAGACCAGCCTGAGCAAGGGGAGACCTCGTCTCTACTATAAATAGAAAGAAATTAGCCAAATAACTAAAAATGGAAAAAATTAGCCGGGCATGGTGGGACCCTGTAGTCCTAGCTACTGGGAGGCTGAGGCAGGAGGACCACTGGAGCCTAGGAATTTGAGATTACTGTGACTAGGCTGATGCCAGGGCACTCTAGCCCGGTCAACAGAGCAAGACTCTGTCTCAAAAAAATAAAATAAAATAAAATAAAAGTTTTCTTTTTGTCATAATCAGCTATGCAAGTAACTTAACCGTGTTAAGTTCTTTTGGAGCTCTGGTAATTTAGGAGTTCATCTATCTGGACTCAAGTCTCTCATGCCAATCCTCTATTGTGTGACCTGAAACAAGTTCTGTAGTTTATCTCAAGCCTTTCTTGACTGTAAAACGAA